CTACATTCTTAGGGTAAATTCCTAGAAGTGGAATTTCTGGGTCGAATGGCATTTTTATTTTGAGTTTTTTGAGGAATATCCATACTGCTTTTCAAAATGGTTGAAATAATTTACATTCCCACCAGCAGTGTAGGGGAGGATTCCCCTTTCTCCACATCCTCATGAACATTTGTTGTTGTTTGTCTTTTGGATGTTAGCCATCCTGTGTGGTTTGAGGTGATATCTCATTGTGGTTTTAATTTGCATTTCTCTGATGATTACAGATGTGGAGGATCTTTTCATGTGCGTGTTGGCCATCTGAATTTCTTCTTTGGAGAAGTGTCTGTTCAGATCCTCTGCCCATTTCCTAATTGGATTATTTGCTTCTTGTTTGTTGAGGTGCATGAGCTCTTCATATATTTTGGATTTCAACTGTTTACTGGATATGTCATTTATAAATATATTCTCCCATAATGTAGAATGTCTTTTTGTTCTATTGATGGTGTCCTTTGCTGTACAGAACCTTCTCAGCTTGATATATTCCCACTTGTTCATTTTTGCTTTTGTTTCCCTTGCCAAGGGAGATATGTTAATGAAGAAGTTGCTCATTTTATGTCCAGGAGAACTTTCCCTATGTTTTCTTCTAAGAGTTTTATGGTTTCACGACTAACATTCAGGTCTTTAACCCATTTCAAGTTTACTTCTGTGTCTGGAGTTAGGCAGCAATCCAGTTTCATTCTCTTACATGTAGCTGTCCAGTTTTGCCAACACCAGCTGTTGAACAGGCTGTCATTTCCCCACTGTATATCCATGGCTCCTTTATCGTGTATTAATTGACCATATATGCTGGGGTTAATAGCTGGGCTCTCTAGTCTGTTCCATTGGTCTATGGGTGTTCTTGTGCCAGTACCATATTGTCTTGATTACTGTGGCTTTGCAGTAGAGCTTGAAGTCAGGGAGGGTAATTTGTCCCACTTTATTCTTCCTTCTCAGTATTGCTTTGGCTATTCAGGGTCAATATTCTCATTCTGCAGAAGTTGAAACTGAATCTCATGCAGCCGTCATTTCCAGACTTGCTCAGTAAGGGCGCTGGGACCTAAACCCCGCTCTGTGCCCTCTGCCCAGCACCCCTATCCCAGGCCAGGAGGAGGCACCCCTGCCCCTGACCCTGTAGGCTCACATCCAGCCCCATGGGTTGCAGGCTACTTCCCTCCACCAACCCTGCCCTCACCCTCCCCGCCATCCCTCAGCTCATTTCAGCAGCACATATACTAAAATTGGATCAATACAAAGAAGATTAGCATGGCCCCTGCACAAGGATGACATGCAAATTCATGAAATGTTCCATATTTTTAAGACCACAAATACCCAAAGCAATCCTGAGAAGGAAGAATAAAGCTGGGGGGATTATTCTCCCTGACTTCAAGCTCTACTACAAAGCCACAGTAATCAAGAAAATTTGGGACCGGCACAAGAATAGACCCATAGACCAGTGGAACAGAATAGAGAGCCCAGATATAAACCCAAGCATATATGATCAATTAATATATGATAAAGGAGCTATGAATATACAATGGGGAAATGACAACCTCTTCAATAGCTGTTGTTGGCAAAACTGGACAACTACATGTAAGACAATTAAACTGGATTATTGTCCAACCCCATACACAAAAGTAAACTCAAAATGGACCAAAGACCTGAATGTAAGTCATGAAACCATGAAACTCTTAGACAAAAACATAGGCAAAAATCTCTTGGACATAAACATGAGTGACTTCTTCATGAACATATCTCCCGGGGCAAGGGAAACAAAAGCAAAAGTGAACAAGTGGGACTATATCAAACTAAAAACTTCTGTACAGCAAAGGACACATCAGTAGAACAAAAAGCATCCTATAGTTTGGGAGAATATATTCATAAATGACAGATCCGATAAGGGGTTGACATCCCAATTATATAAAGAGTTCACGCACCTCAACAAACAAGAAACAAATGACCCAATTAAAAAATGGACAGAGGAGCTGAACAGACACTTCTCCAAAGAAGAAATTCAGATGGCCAACACATACATGAAAAGATGTTCCACATCTGTAATCACCAAAGAAATGCAAATTAAAACCACAATGAGATATCACCTCACACCTGTTAGGATGGCCAACATCCAAAAGACAAACAACAAATGTTGGTGAGGATGTGGAGAAGGGGGAACCTTCCTACACTGCTGGTGGGAATGTAAACTAGTTCAATCATTGTGGAAAGCAGTATGGAGGTTCCTCAAAAAATTTAAAATAGAAATACCATTTGACCCGGGAATTCCACTCCTAGGAATTTACCCTAAGAATGCAGCAGCCTAGTTTGAAAAAGACAGATGCACCCCTATGTTTATCGCAGCACTATTTACAATAGCCAAGAAATGGAAGCAACCTAAGTGTCGATCAGTAGTAGATGAATAGATAAAGATGATGGTGGTACATATATACAGAATGGAATATTATTCAGCCATAAGAAGAAAACAAATCCTACCATTTGCAACAACATGGCTGGAGCTCGAGGGTATTATGCTCAGTGAAATAAGCCAGGTGGAGAAAGACAGGTATCAAATGATTTCACTCATATGTGGAGTATAAGAACAAAGAAAAACTGAAGGAAGAAAACAGCAGCAGACTCACAGAACCCAAGAATGGACTGACAGTTACCAAAGGGAAACGGACTGGGGAGGGATAAGGTGAAAAAGGGGGCATTACAATTAGCACACATAATGTAGCAGGGGGAGGACATGGGAAAGGCAGTATATACAGAGAAGACGAGTAATGATTCTATAGTCATACTTTTCTGTCAGTGTTGCCAAATCTTACTACACTGATGGACAGTGACTGTAATGGGTATGTGGGGGAGTCTTGATAATAGGGGGAGTCTAGTAACCATAATGTTGTCCAAGAAAAAAAATAGTCAAATTATAAACATTGTATTATCAAAGACTTTGGAGAGCTGTGGAAACAATGCAGATTAGACCAACTCAATTCCAGAGAGTTGGGTAACTCTCACATACTCACTATATATTGCTGGATTCTCTACTACACTGGATCACTGTAACAGTACAGTAAACCTTAAATTAGGTAATGTGTTTCTTCTATCTTTATTCTTCTTTTACAGAATCCTATTAGTCATTCTAGTTTGCTTTTCCATGTAACTTTTAACATCAGAATGTATTTATCTACAAAACACCCTATGAATATAATCACTCATCTGCAAATATTTTTCTTTTTCTTTGTAATTTATGCGTTTCATTTCTCTCCTTGCCTTATACCTGCTAGGACTTCCAGAATGATGTTGAATAGAATGGTAAGAGTTAATGTCTTTTTCTTAATCTTAAGGGAAAAGCATTTAGTCTTTCACCATTAAGGATGATGTCAATCTTAGATTTTTTTTGAAGATGCTTTGTTATAGACTGAAGTTTCCCCTCAAAATTCTTATGTTGAATTCCTAACCCCTCAGTGTGACTATTGGGAGATTGGGCTTTTAGAGGATAATTAAGGTTAAATGAAGTCATCAGGATAGGGTCTTAATCTGATAGGATTTGTGGCTTTATGAGCAAGAAAGCGATTTCTCTTTTTCATATGCATGCACTGAGGCAAGGCCATATAAGCACACAATGAGAAGGCAGCCATCTGCAGGAAGAGATGCCTCACTGGAAAACAAATCACAAAAAAATCACCTGATCTTGGACTTCTCCAGAACTGTAAAAAAGAAATTTGTTATTTTAGCCACCAAGTCTATGGTATTTTGTTATGGCAGCCTAAGCAGTCTAAGACACGTACCCCAGTTAGGGGAACTCACTTTGAATCCTAATTTATTGAGAATTTTTATCATGAAAAGATGATGAATCTTGTCACATGATTTTTCCATAAATTGTTATAATCCTATTATTTTCAGAGTGTTTACATAATAGATCACATTTATTTACATTCAAATATTGAACCATCTTGGTGTTCCCAAGATAAAATTTACATGGCTGGAATTTATTTGCTAATATTTTGCTGAAGATGTTGTGTTTATGTTCATGCTGGGGTTTGGGTGTGTAGTTTTATTTGTCTTTGATTTTAGCATAAAGGTAATCTAGGCCTTATAAAATGAATTGGGAAGTGTTGCCTCCTCTTGTATTTGCTGGAAAAAATTGTGTAGTGTTGATGTTACTTCTTTACGTACTTGGTAGAATTCACCAGTAAAGCCACGTAGTTTTACAGATTTCTTTGTTGATGCTTCTAATTATGAGTTATGTGTGATTATAAAGGGGTAGCATGAGGCAGATCTTTATGGTGATCAAATAGTTCTGTATCATGACTGAGGTGGAGGCCACTTGAATCTATAAAATTGTAGAACTGTTCTATTTCTTTGAAGTTTTTAATGCATGTGCTTAAGTTGTTTGTTCTATTCTCATTTTTTGTAGTAGTCCCTTTTCATCCATGTATCTGTGAGGTCTTTACTACTACTCCCTCTTTATTCCTAAAATTTCTAATCTCTGTCATACTTTTCTGTCAGTGTTGCCAAATTATCAATTTTATTTATTGACTTTTTCAAAGAACCAGCTTTTTGTTTTACTAATTTTCTGTACTGCTTCTCTGGCTTTAATTTCATTGATTTCTGCCCTTACCTTTCTTACTTTTTTATTTCAACATGCTTAGGTTTTATTTTGTTTTTCTTTATCTACTTTCTTAAGGTGAAATCTTTATTGATTTGAGATCTTTCTTTTCTGCTGTATATTTCCTTCCAAGTGCTCTGTTAGCCATATACCACAAATGTTGCTATATTTTCATTGTTGTTCTGCTCAAAATATGTCTAATTTCCTTTGAGATTTCTCTTTGACCATGTATTATGAAGTGCTTAATTTCCAAGTATTTGCAGATGTCCTGTTAATTATTACTGATTCCTAGTTTAATTCCATTATTGTCTGAGAAAATATTTTGTTGATTTCAATTCTTTAAAATGTAATATTTGTTCTGTTTTGGACAATATTTGGTGTAGACTTTCTGAGAAAAATGCTTATTCAGTTATTGTTGGGTGTAGTGTTCTGTAAATCAAATCTACTTTGTTGATGCTATAATGCAGCTATTCTATGTCCTTGCTGATTTTTTTCTGCTATTTCTATTATTGATAAAGAAATAGTGTTGTCTTCAACTATAATTGTCAATTTGCATATTTCTCCTCTCAGTTATTTTAGTTTTTGCTTCCTATGTTTTGAAATTCGGTTGTTATGTACATACTCATTTAGGATTGACATGCCTTCATTTTATTTGAACTTTTAGTCCTTGCACAATGTTCCTCATTTGTATTTTGCCTATTTTTTGCCTGATACCAGCATAGCCGTTCCACTTTATCTTTAATAGTGTTTGCACAGTATACTTTTTTAAAATCTTTACCTTTGTTCTACCTACATCATCATATATTTCAAAGGGAGTTTACTGTAGACTGCATATAGTTGGGTCAAGCTTTTTAATTCATTCTGAGTCTCTATGTTTTAGTTGGTGTGTTGACCAGTTACTTTCAATGTTTTTTTTTCTATTTGGAATCATTATTATACAATTACATGAGAAACATTATGTTTACTAGGTTCCCCCCTTCACCAAGTACCACCCCCAAACCCCCATTAGTCACTGTCCATCAGAGTAGTAAGATGCTGTAGAGTCACTACCTGTCTTCTCTGTTTTGCACAGCCCTCCCCATGCCACCCCCCACATTATACATGCTAATCATAATTCCCCCTTTCTATTTCTCCCCCCATCCCTCCCTTCCAACCCATCCATCCCAGTCCCTTTCCCTTTGGTAACTGTTAGTCCATTCTTGGGTTCTGTGATTCTGCTGCTGTTTTGTTCCTTCAGTTTTTTCTTTGTTCTTATACTCCACATATGAATGAAATCATTTGTTACTTGACTTTCTCTGCTTGACTTATTTCAGTGAGCATAATATCGGCTATCTCCAGCCATGTTGTTGCAAATGGTAGGATTTGTTTTCTTCTTATGGCTGAATAATATTCCATTGTGTATATGTATCACATCTTCTTTATCCATTCATCTACTGATGGACACTTAAGTTGCTTTCATTTCTTGGCTATTGTAAATAGTGCTGCGATAAACACAGGGGTGCATCTGTCTTTTTCAAACTGGGCTGCTGCATTCTTAGGGTAAATTCCTAGGAGTGGAATTCCTGGGTCAAATGGTATTTCTATTTTGAGCTTTTTGAGGAACCTCCATACTGCTTCCCACAATGGTTAAACTAATTTACATTCATACCAGCAGTGTAGGTGGGTTCCCCTTTCTCCACAACCTCACCAACATCTGTTGTTGTTTGTCTTTGGAT